AAAGGTGCTTTTTTTTCCAACTGGATTTTGTTTTTCCTTGAAGACGTTTCACTTCTCATCCAAGAAGCTTCTTCAGTTCTAACTTAGAACAGTTTTAACTCAGAATGGAAGAAGCTTCAGTGGAATGAGAAGCGAAATGTCTTCAAGGAAAAACAAAAGAAAGCCCAGTTGCCTCTTGAAAAGGCACCTTTGAGATTACTTTTGAGAGGTTTATTTGCGGGCCAGCAATTATATTCCACTCCTTCACTCTTCTTTTTTCCTTCCCTTTCCCATCTTGTTTTTGTTTTACTTTCAGGGTGACACTTCAGGGGACTACCGGAAAATCTTGCTCAAGCTGTGTGGCGGGAATGATTAAGTAGAACATCTGGAATTTTAGAGTGTGTCTTTCAAAGTCACAGCTGGCTTTATATTCTCCTTTCTCACAAAGCTGTCAAAACTCCCACTGCTGGATCAGATTGATATTCTTAATATATTCCCTCCTCTAAAGGTGTATAATAAATACAGCACAAAAAAAATATATTAAAAAGTCTGCTATAGTAGATAGAGATATTTTTATTGCGTTCTTAGAGAAGCTGTGCAAATATTGCATCTGACAAATGCTCCCTTTAGAGTATGGAAGGATCCTATATAGTTTTGTGTGCAATATTTTGTCTGACTGTATGGACTTTGTTTGATTGTTTGAAATGCATGGAGTGTTAAAAAAAAAAAATCTGAATCAAAAGTGCCTGCTCTAAAATGTGATGGTTTTGATTCCCAAAGAATTTTTTTAAAAATTTCATTACTGTTTGAGGGGGAAACACGCATCTGGCTGGTGGCCTGGGAAAAATAATTTTTGCATTCATTGGATTATCTCCCCTTTACCTTAAAAGAGAAGGGAATTTGGCCAGTGGCAAACTCAGAGCCAAACTTGATGTGTAATCAAAGCATCATTTTGGAGAATGTCAATTAAGGCACAATCATCCAGGCCAAAGGTATCTAAAAAGTTGAATCATGGCAACTGCATCAAATTTTGTTACTGTATTTTTTGGAGTATAAAATGCTTTGGAATATAAGACGCACATTAGTTTTTGGGAAAGAAAACAAGAAAAAAATTCTGTCTCTGCCTACCAGCATCGATCAGTATTCATCTGGCTAGCAAGCAGCAAACAGCCTGGTCAGCTTCAACACATTATTGAAGCCTGATTCAGCACGAGCAGCTGATTGGCGGTTGGATCGCCTCCCAGAATACCACCAATCAGCTGTTCCAGGCTGCGGGCATTGCCGCAGCCCATCACCGCCTCCACGCGTTGCATTTTCAGCCTCCACATGCCCCATTTTTGGCCTCCGTGCATTGCGTTTTCGGCTGGTTCCAGGCAGCAGGGATTGGTGGTGGCGGTAATCTCCACCACCTGGAACCGGCTGAAAACATGATGTGCAGAGGCCGAAAATGCAATGCACGGAAGCAGTGATTGGTGGCGGTATGTTGTGGCGATCCCTGCAGCCTAGAACGGGTCTAAAATGGAGTGTGCGGAGGCCGAAAATGCGATGCACGGAGGCCGAAAACGGTTGAAGGATGGGGGTTGGTGGGTGAGTGCGGCTTTGGCAACATTCACTGTATACGACGCACAGATATTTCCACCCACGTTTAGGGGGGAAGTGCGTCTTACACACCAAAAAATATGATACTCTGAAAAGTTGCATTGCTCATCCAAGCAACCTGATCAGTCAAAATAAAATTAAAAAATAGTTAGTCAGAGAGCCTAATTATTTTTTTTTAATTTTGACTGATCAAGTTGCTTGGATGAGCAATGAATCAGATGAACAAAGTTTGATGCCGTTGCCATGATTCAACCTTTTAGATACCTCAGCTGGAGAATTCATTGGAGTGTGTCAATGAAGGTTTTTATTCCTGATACTAATTTCAATGACATTGGATGGCATTAATTTTTATTGAGACAATGAAAAGGGGAGAAGAATTAAATCTCTTCCTGCGTGCTATGAAAATTTTCCTATCTTCCGTCCTACTGATCAGGGTTGTGTTGTTGATGTTGTTTTAAAAAAAGAAAAGAAATATTAACAGCACCTTAAGTCTTTGGGAAGCCTTCCAGTTCAATCATTTCTTCTTTGGCTAGGTGCCTTTTCTGGAATGCAGAAACCCCAGTTCATACAACTTCTTTTTCAGGGATATTGATTTGCAAATAATTTGTAATAAGAACCGAGCTGAGTAGCCACATTTAAGATGAGCTGGAGTATTACCCATCCTGCATTTCACAGAAATAGATCCCACCCCCAAAATTGATCCCTTGGTTTTAGGGCTCAGCTCTCCTCAATTCCCTATTTCTCTCTTTCTTTATGGATTAACCTGTTTCTTAAATTGTGCTACATTCATTGACCGCTTTCTACAGGTTGTACACGCCAAACCTTTCTCTATTTGTGATCTGAGTTAGTCCTTTAAAACCAAATGTATGTAATCATTTTTTTTAAAACACACACACAGACATTGTTTAAATAAAATTATCTATCTTCTCAGTTTCTTGCAGCGCTTATTTGGGCCATGGGTCGGGGACATAGATTCTCATGTGACATTACTGTTTTAATAGTGAATTGGATTGCTTCATTTCTTATTGGGGCTAAAGTTAGGGTTATGACCACACTTGGAATTTGGCATCCAGTTTTGGTCACCACAATATAAACAAGATGTAGAGACGCTGGAAAGAGTGCAGAGAAGAGCAACAAAGTTGACCAGGGGGCTAGAGGCTAAAACATATGAAGAATGGTTGCAGGAGTTGGGTATGCAGTGGTGGGATGCTGCCGGTTTAACAACTGGTTCGGTGAGCCCATTCTTCATACTGAAAATGGAACAGTTAAAAGCTTAGCTGCTTACCTTCCAAGTCAGCAACGGTAAGTAGAACAGTGAGGGGGGGGAATCAGCTGTGCCGCACGATTGAGATGAGCTAGAAAGCAGGAAATAAAGGACAGGATAGGGCGGGGGTGGGTGGGCAGGGCCAGCTGATCGTCAAAGCTACCGGTTTTCCCGAATCGATCCGAACCAGCTGAATTCCACCTCTGGGTATGTCTAGTCTAGTGAAAAGAAGGACTAGGGGACATATGATAGCAGTGTTTGAATATCTCAGGGGCTGCCACAAAGAAGAGGGGGTCAACCTATTCTCCAAAGTACCAGAAGGCAGGACAAGAAGCAATGAGTGGAAACTTATAGAGAGATCCAACCTAGAACTAAGGAGAAATTTCCTGACAGTGAGCCTTCAGAAGTTGTAGGTGCTCCATCACTGGAGATTTTTAAGAAGAGACTGGACAGCCACTTGTCTGAAATGTTATAGGGTCTCCTGCTTGAGCAGGGGGTTGGAGTAGGAGACCTCCAAGGTCCCTTCCAAATCTGTTATTCTGTTCTGTATGAGTTGTTTTGGACTGACAGGCATATCATAATAAGAGTTTCCACTTTCCCAATAAATACTGCAGCAGAATTCAGTTTGCCCAAAAGAAATGACCCAGAGATGGAGTGTTCAACAGTGATGGCCATCTGCTTTCTCCTTGCACACTCACTTTTAAAAAGTGAAACTCTGTTGGGACAAACTATTGGAATGCCAGTGGATGTCTCTGCATCCTGCTTTCATCATTCCATCAAATCCAGTTGTTATGAGACACTTACACCCAGAGGCTGCCAACTTTAGTTTTGTCCAACGCTCCATAAATGGAATCCAGAACTTGAGAAAATGCTGCTTTAAGAATCACTCTGTGTAGCTTGTGTTCCAAATTATCTTGGGCTCCTGATTCATGCTGAGTTTGAAAACAGCTTGATCTAATGAAATGTTCCATCTTGTTCAGCCTTTGGCTTCGGTTTCCTACAGAGGCCATCTGGTTGCTTCGGAGAAGAGTATAAACAGCAAGAACAATGTACTTAACAGTGTGTTATGTTCATGTCTTGCACTGATTTTTCCAGCAATGTCATTGACATCTTGCTGGGATTTATTTTGCTTCGGGAACTAAATTAGACCACGCTAACAAATAGTTCTGCATTACTCATTTTTAAACTGTTCTCATCCAGCATGGGAGATGAAAACACAGGCAAACAGGTCTTTCTTTATCTTTGTCTAACAATGATCCTTCCTGTCCCATCATTGGACAAATCAACGTTTTGGAAGAGAGGCATACCAGAGATGCAATCTAGCCCCCTGTGCCAATATTGAGAAAATTCAGGACTTCCAGTGAGTAGGAATTGAAGCAGCTGAGGAATCAACTACTGGAGGAGTGTCCAACCTTGGCCATTTTTAAAGACTTGTGAACTTCAACTCCCAGAATTCCTCAGCCAGACATGCTAGCTGAGGAATTGTGGGAGTTGAAATCCACAAGTCTTAAAATGGCCAAGGTTGGAAAACCCCTGAGTTACGGGACATCAAATATGCCGGTGTGCTTTTCTGCTGAAGCTAGGTGCAGAGCTCTTCAACTCATCAATGAGGAAAGTCCCAAAGCATCCGATTAGCAAGTCCTCCATTGGATTAGGAGCTATGGTGGGCAATCCAAGCTGCAATGGACATTCAATCACGAGTCATTCATTATGGCTCTAGTGGAGATTTCCATCGATGCTGCAAGAAGAAGGGGAACATTTAGCCTCACCCAATACCTTAGACCAGGGGTCAGCAACCTGGGGCTCCGGAGCCAGATTCGGCTCTTTGGGCCCTCTGCTGTGGCTCCCTGTGAGGTGATCCCACCACTGACTGGCCCTGCCCCTTGCCCTCCCCTCCCAGTCACTCCAATGTTGCAGCCTTGTCGTTTCTTTTTCTTTTTGATCAATTTGGGCCAAGAACATTCTAGTTTCTGTGATAGAAGGTTTAGCTTTCTAGAAAAATCCCTTGAAAACAACTTTAACTAGGTCAATCTCAACATTTTCATGTTAGCCTCTGACCTGAATCCAAGACTTTCTTCTGGAGCTCCTTGGTATCTTTTTTCCCCTCTTGCATTTTGAACTAAAGGACGAATTATTTCACCATAATAAAATTCCAGTCTTTGGGAATTTTTCTTTTTTTTTAATTTTCAACTTCCCAATCTAGTTTTATTGGTCTCCTGTTCAAGGGCTAATCAACTCCTACTTCGCTTCATCTACTAGAAAACATTAGCCGGTGCTACTACACCTACGGACACATTTTGTACCGACATGACAAATGTTTACTCAATGCTTCTGTCCATCTCAACATTTTATAGACCACTTTGGTTTTCAGGGTTGATGCAAAAGGCAACTTGAAGTCTGGCTCTTGATGATGTAAAGTTCAGCATCTGGATATTCAGTTCATCGTCTGGAAACTCAACTAGGATCTAGAAAGAGAAAGAGAAGCAGTGTTGATCACTTTTTCAGGGATAGCAAAGACCAAAGACAGTCTAGTCCTTCTGATAACCAAAAGAAAAAAAAAAGATAGGAGTGACTTCTGCAAATTGTTCATCCTTCCCCACCAACTTTGTAAGCAATTCCAAAGTTCAACCACTTTTTGAAGTGGATGTTCAGAGGCCTTTAGCCTTTCTGTTTACTAAAGCCTTTATTTTTTAAAAAAATGTTGTCAAGTCAACTCTTGATGGACACAAAGTCACATCTTAAGGATAGTGTAGAAGCGGTTTGAAGTTGTGTTCTTCCAGGGTGTTCTTTTACCTTTTTCATTCTGTCTTATAATGCTAGGACAGGGGTCGGCAACCTTAAACACTTAAAGAACCACAAAGGACCTAACCAGAAGCCCCCCGTTCAATTCTGGAGCCGACCGGAAGTCTGGTTCCCCCACCATAGAATCTCCTCTTAGCGCAGCGTCCTTTTTCCTCTATCTGTTCTAACCAAAAGCCCTATCAATCATGGAGCCAGCCAGCGACAGGGAGCCGCAGCAAAGGGATGAAAGAGCCACATGCGGCTCCAGAGCCGCGGGTTGCTGACCCCTGTGCTGGGACATCCTTCTAATCTCCTGTCCAAATATAGGTTGCAATAGCAATAGCCCTTAGGCTTATATACTGCTTCACAACCCTCTCTAAGCAGTTTACAGAGTCGGCCTATTGCTCCCAACAATCCAGCTCCTTATTTTATCGACTTTGGAAGGATAGAAGGCTGAGTCAATAGCAATAGCACTTAGACTTATATACCGCTGCACAGTGCTTTACTGTCCTCTCTAAGCGGTTTACAGAGTCAGCCTATTGCCCCCAACAATCTGGGTCCTCATTTTACCCACCTCGGAAGGATGGAAGGCTGAGTCAATAGCAATAGCAATAGCAATAGCAATAGCACTGAGACTTATATACCGCTTCACAGTGCTTCACAGACCTCTCTAAGTGGTTTACAGAGTCAGCCTCTTGCCCCCAACAATCTGGGTCCTCGTTTTACTGACCTCAGAAGGATGCAAGGCTGAGTCAACCTTGGCTCACGATTGAGGGAATCAAACTCCTGGCAATGTGAGCAGAGTTAGCCTGCAATATTGCATTCTAATCACTGCACCACTACAGCTCTTTGATGTTTAAGATGTTACCCAATGGGTCCAAAGTCAGCTATCTATTCATCAAAAGACATTTGGTGCATGGAACGAAGAAGCAATTCTTATGTTCCCATCCCTGTATCTAATGGTGCCAGGATATTCCTATCTGCATTTAGCTTAAGGTTGATGTACTTAAATGTTGTGAGCATCCCTCTTTCATCTTACATGATTCTCTTCCACATTCTGCAGCCTTCTTGGCTGCGGTTTAATCTCCAAGGAAGACACTGAGGGACACATAGCATGGACTTACCATGTTTCCCTGAAAATAAAACCCTGTCTTATATTTTTTGAACCCCGAAATAAGCACTTGGCCTTATTTTCAGGGAGGTCTTATTATTTTGGGGCGCGTGGAGCAAGACAGGGCTCCTCTTGCCATCTTACCTGATTTCCAGTTCTGTCTCCCTAAACCTAACCAGAAGAAATGGCGGGGACCGGCTGCATATGCATTTATATATTTTCAGGGAGGGCTTATTTTCGGTGGGGCTTATTTTAGTGCATGCGCTCAAAAGTCTAATTGGCCTTATTATCCGGGAAGGTCTTCTTTTCGGGAAAACACGATAGCATTCCATTCTTGCAAGGTTATACTTGAAATGTGAGCTAAATGAAAGAAGGTAAATCCAGGTTTATGGAGATTCTCAGTCATCTGGGTCAGGGTTGTCCCAAAGGTGCTTTTCGAAAAGGCATCTGGACTTTGTTTTGTCCTTGAAGATGTTTTGTTTGTCATCCAAGAAGCTTCTTCTGTACTGAAGTGAAAAAGCTTCAACTTGTAGAAGGTTCAATGAACTGAAGAAGCTTCTTGGATGAGAAGTGAAATATTTTCTTCTTTTTTAAAAAAATATTTTTTTTATTTTAAACACAAATAATGCAAACATAGTGCATATCAGTGGTGGGTTCCTCTTGGTTCGGTCCGGTTCGGCCGAGCCGGTAGCAGTGATGATATGATGTCACCAAACCAGTTCTCCCCCCCACCCCCCCACGTTATTCTTACCTTTTATTTGGTCCCACCCCCAATCTATTGCTGCCTCCTGAGTCCCAGCTGATGACTAGAGGGAAAAAAACAGTTTAAACTCTTGCCGCGGGCTTCAAAGGGCCGTCCTACAGCTGATCAGTGTTAAAAGCAAACCAATGAGTCGGGTCGTAAGTGCGAGGACTGATCGTAAGTGCGAGGACCTTCCAGAAATGACTCTGAGCAGCTAGCCATGCCCACCTAGTCACATGACCTCTAAGCCACACTCACAAAATAAGCCACGCCCACAGAACCGGTAGTAAAAAAATTTAGACCCCCTCCCTGGTGCATATATCTCTAAATAAAAAAAAGGGGGGGGGGAAATACAAATATTACAGTGCAGCCCCACCCCTGGAGACCATTTTTCCCCTTATATTTCTTCTTCTATAACAACTAAAGGATATACAATACATTTCAATTGTGCCCTTATCCCCTCCAAAACAACATACTGTATATTCTTGAGTTGGTTTATTCCCTTTGCTTTCTACCAACACTGATTTTATAAAATCCCCCCATATTTCATTATAATTGTATCATTTGTTGCCATACTCCAAATTTCATTATACCACTCATTTCTTTGAATATCCCAATTTTGTCCCCAATATTTAGCCATCACTAATCTAGCTGCCATTACCAAATTTACAATCAATTCCTTTTTTTGCTTCATTTATATCCCGTTTTTCCACCAACAACAGTAATGCAATTCTCAGTGACATGTCTAAATTTACATTCAAAAGTGCTCTAATTTCTCCTAACACCATGTCCCATATTTTTTGTGCACTATCGCAATCCCACCACATATGTTTATATGTTCCAAGTTCTAGAAGTGAAACATTTTCAAGGAGAAAGGAAGTCCAGTTGTTTTTTGGAAAGCACCTCTGGGTAAACCCATGTTAGTTTGCCAGTGCAACAGTACTACAAAACCTGTATTTCAAGTCCCTCCTACATGGCCCCTCAACACAGTGGTGGAATCCTTCCAGAGGGCTTGTTCAGTAACAAGGTTCCTAAAAGGAGAAGAGTCCTGACTTCAAAACAACTGGAAAACTTTTGAGAACTCAAACACCCCATTTCTCTACTCATTGATTGGGTGGTGTCATTCAACAAGCTCGGCTTTCTTCTTACCTCCAAAGAGATCTACCAATGGCGTCCCAGGAGCAAGTGGCTTGGTCCACGCAGTTTCACTAACATCGTTGAGCAGTGACTTGACTTCGGAGTCCAAATGATCAACTGTTTTTTCCAGGTGCTGATGGAAGGAGAGAAGAAATTGGGCGGGGGCTTATTGGTCTTGTTAATGCAAGCTTAAGACCCCTGTAACTCATCCACCCAATACGCTAAGGTTAGGGGTAACCTTCGTGGCTTAAAGTGTTGTGGAAACCCAACCTTTTCGGTTAGCCTCTAATTCAATTTCTTGGGCAAACTGTGTTGGTTAATTCATGAACCAGGTTAAGAAAGTTATATAAATAGAGCCAAAAAGCCCCTGTTAATTGCATATCATAGGAAAATGAGAACGAAAGAATGCTGAATTTTTTTGACAGAGGTTGCTTTTGTCAACAGATCACTGATGTTGGGAGCAAGTCTGGCTCAAGACCACACAATCTCCAAGCTGTGGTCTGTAGCAAATGCCTCTTTTTCTATTCAAGCAATTTATCAAGGGGAATAGTCAGAGATGCCAGAATAAGAATTGCTCTTGTGCAAGAATCTACTTGAGGTTTGTACAAGAAGGTCTTAAATCCAGGACTAATGCATCCATTGCAACACTGGATGATGTGTGCCTTGGAATCAATGTACTGTGGCTTAATTCTGAATGGAAAGGGAACATTCTTCTTAACCATTAGCTCATTAGTGGATTTCCATCGAGGTGTAAATCACATGATGTGACCTTGCTCAACTTCTTTCACAATTGCTCAGGGTCAACTAGGAGTCACCATCTGAGGTGGACAACACGTGCAGTTTGTTTCTAATACTTTTGACCACTGATCGTATAATTCATTTTTGTCTATTTCATCAGCAGGTCTCCAGTCTTTAAGATAAAGGTGATATTTCTAAATTTGCTACTCCTTCCTTCCTTCCTTCCTTCCTTCCTTCCTTCCTTCCTTCCTTCCTTCCTCCTTCCTTCCTTCCTTCCTTCCCTCTCCTCCTTCCTTCCTTCCTTCCTCTCTCCCTCCCTCCTTCCCTCTATGCTTTTTTCTTCTTTCTTCCTTCCCCCTTCCTCCCTCTCTCCTTCCCTCCCTCTCCATCTGTCTTTTCCTTCCTCTGTCCCATCCTCTCTCCTTCTCCATCTGTCTTTTCCTTCCTTCCTTCCTTCCTTCCTTCCTTCCTTCCTTCCTTCCTTCCTTCCTTCCTTCCTTCCTTCCTTCCTTCCTTCCCTTCCTTCCCTTCCCTTCCCTTCCCTTCCCTTCCCAAAACCTTTTCAACAGATCACTTCCCTCTCTCTGGAAGTTGAAGTTCACACAGTTTAAGGTTTCTGGGGTTGAGAAATACTGCTCTAGACCCTCTGGTTTTATTTTGTATTTCCTGCAACCCAATTCCAGAACTCTGAGCTTCAGTTTCCCCCTTGGAGTTAGGACCATCCTTTGCAGGGAAGTGGTGATAGGTATCCTGCATTTTGTTCCATCGCATCTTCTCTTGCACTTACCTCTTGGATAGTATCCAAGCGCTTGTGGATGGTGCTGGGGTTATCACACCAGTCATCTTGCTCTGAGGTTCCTTGATGGTCAGCAGCAGGATCAGCAGTGACTAGAAAAGGAGAAAAGCAAATGATCTAACAGCTTTAAAACTCTAGGGCAGGGGTGTCAAACTCTATTTCATTGAGGGCTGCATCAGGATTGTATTTGATCTTGGGGGATGGGGTGGAGTGAGTGTGGCCAGATCAACATCACTCCTGTCGGGGGGGGCACTTGTGGTGGTCTGAGTGCTCTGTCACAGAAAACGGGTTGCTGGCGGCCTCCTGTAACCCTCTGTCAGCAAAAATGGAGCTCATGGCCCTCCCACGGTCCGTTTTCGCCAGCAGAGGCCCCATGGGCCAGTCCTTCACTGTTTCCAGGGTGGCCCCGCAGGCCAGATCTAAGCACCCCGTGGGCCAGATCTGGCTCCCGGGCCTTGAGTTTGACAACCCTGCTCTAAGGGAATCTTTTCACAGTTGGGTTCATCCATAGTTCCCCCTTCCTGTCCTTCTTGTTGTTTTTGCTTGGGTTGTTTTGGTTTTTCTGGTGCTCTCAAGTCAGTGTTGACTCAGGGTCACTGCCTGGATAAGTCCCTGTGGCTTTCTTGGCAATATTTCAGAAGCGGTGTGACATTGACTTCTTCTTCCTAGGATTGAGAGAGGTTCCTCCGTTGGCTTTGTGCTGGCTGAGGGGCTAGAACTCATGGTCCTGCAGTTTCTAGCCTGATTCCTTTAACCACTACATCAAACTCACTCTCTTGTTTTTATTAATTTGAGATTAACCAGTCAGATGCAGATCAGGATCACAGTTTCTAAGCAGAAGTTTAAATCTCCCTCCCCAACTATTTCTCTGGAGATTAAAAAGATCTCTGAAGACTAAAGAACGGTTGCAGGATTTGGGTTTGGCCAGTCAAGAGAAAAGAAGGACTAGGGGGCACATGATAAGAGCCGAGGTGGCGCAGTGGTTACACTGCAGTACTGCAGGCTATTTCAGCTGGCTACTAGCTGCAGTTCAGCAGTTCGGATCTCACTGGCTCAAGGTTGACTCAGCCTTCCATCCTTCTGAGGTGGGTAAAATGAGGACCCAGATTGTTGGGGCCAATAGGCTGACTCTATAAACCACTTAGAGAGGGCTGAAAAAGCACTATGAAGCGGTATATAAGTCTAAGTTCTATTGCTATTGCTATCATAGCACTATTCCAGTATTTGTGGGGCTGCCACAAAGAAGAAGGGTGTCAACCTATCCTTCAAAGCCACCTGGAGGCCGGACAAGAACCAATGGATGGAAACTAATCAAGGAGAGAAGCAACCTGGAATTAAGGAGAAACTTCCTAACAGTGAGGACAACCAGTGGAACAACTTGCTTCCAGAAGTTGTGGATGCTCCATCACTGGAAGTTTTTAAGAAGAGGCTGGATAGTCACTTTTCTGAAATGCTATAGGGCCTCCTGCTTGAGCAGGGGGCTGGACTAGAAGACCTCCAAGGTCCCTTCCAGCTCTATTCTGATTGATTGATTGATTGATTGACTTTCTGCCACTCTTTTAGCTCATTTCCTCTGTCCTAGTAATCACCTAGGAAGTGGTCTAGATCTTTTATGAAGCTAATCTTGATCTGTATAGCAGTTCGGCATACTTGCAAATAAATAAAAATAACATGACATTTGACTGTGTCTTACATAGGGCTCAGCAGCTGGCAACATATGTACAATGGTGAAGAAACTAAGAAGGTTTATGCTTGGTTAGGACTTAGATTTTCTAGGCTTACTAGGAAATCTCATGGCTGTACGAAGAGCCGAGGTGGAGGATAGTTAGAGTGCAGTACTGCAGGCTACTTTAGCTGACTGCTAGCTGCAGTTCAGCAGTTCAAATCTCACTGGCTCAAGGTTGACTCAGCCTTCCATCCTTCCAAGGTGGGTAAAATGAGGACCCAGATTGTTGGGGGCAATATGCTGATTCTGTAATCCACTTAGAGAGGGCTGTAATAGCACTATGAAGCAGTATATAAGTCTAAGTGCTATTACTGTACAGATTGAGTATTCTTTAAAAGACTGGGCTTTGAGTATTTTTTAAAAGACTGCGTTTCTTTTAAAAAGTTATAGCTCATTGGAAAAGATCTGATGTTGGGAAAGATAGAAGGCAAAAAGAAAAGGGGACAACAGAGGATGAGATGGTTAGATAATGTCATTGATGTGGTGGCCATGAGTTTGGGCAAACTCTGGGAGATAGTGGAAGACAGATGAATCTGACATTGCTATGGTCCATGGGGTCGTGAAGAATCAGACATGACTTAGCAACTGAATATCAAAAATAGCTATATCATTCTGAATTTTGTCACAGAAGATTACACAGGCACTTCTGAGAGATCACCAGGAGACAGCATAACTTTGGGAGATTGTGATTTGCTTTAAATACAGATCAATCTAATTTCAGGCTTCAGCATCTATAAAGGAAGGTGGTCAAAATCCATGCTTTGAACCCTGGAAAGGTGCTCCAGTCCTGGTCAGCAGCTCCAGATTAGATGAGAATTGAGTAGCTCCATCAGTCTTCCTGAACCTGATGTCTTCTGATGTGTTAACTACAGTACATTTGCCAAGGTCCCTCTCCAATGATGATAAAGCCATATCCACTAATGATGAAGCCCCAACTCATTTAGAATTAGAATCAGAGTTGGAAGGGACCTTGGAGGTCTTCTAATCCAACTCCCTTTTCAGACAAGAAACTCTATATCATTTCAGACAAATGGTTGTCCAATCTCTTCTTAAAAACATCCAGTGTTGAAACATTCACAACTTCTGGAGGCAAGTTGTTCCATTGATTAATTGTCCTCACTGTTAGGAAGTTTCTCCTTAATTCCAGGTTGCTTCTCTCCTTGATTAATTTCCATCCATTACCTCTTGTCCTGCCCTCAGGTGCTTTGGAGAATAGTCTGACTCCCTCTTCTTTGTGGAAACCCCTAAGATATTGAACACTGCTATCATGTCACCCCTAGTCCTTCTTTTCATTAAACTAGACATTCCCAATTCCAGCAACCGTTCTTCATATGTTTAGCCTCCAGTCCCCTTTGCTGTTCTTCTCTGCACTCTTTCTAGAGTCTCCACATCTTTTTTACATCGTGGTGACCAAAACTGGATGCCGTATTCCAAGTGTGGCTTAAGCTAATGAACCCTAGCTTGGAAACGTCCCAAATTCCATCAGTCCTTTTTTAAAGTTGAAAATACTACTTCCTTTGTTTTCTTCTGAACAGGTCCTTTCTCTCCTTTTTTTTTTTTTTTTCAAAGTTTTGCCCTTGCCTCTTAAAGGCAGAATAAGTTCCCCACCAAGGATGAATAATGAGCTGTGATTAAAAAGCAAGGAAAGCACTCTCTTCTAATTCCTTGGATGTCCATCAAAGCCCTAAATCTGGTTTATCGTTGAGTCCCCACCCACTTAAGAATGAGAAGGACAGACCAAAACTATGTCCGTTTTGCTGGTTTCAACATCAGGGAATTGGGTTCAAAGGGGGTTGAAAACTATTCTCCACACACCCAAGGCATGAAATGAAAGAGAAGAGACTTTCAACAAAGTCTTTCCTGAAAATGAAAGAAACCACTTTATGAAGGTCCCCCCTCCTCCGTGATATTGTTATAAAATAAAAGCAAGTTCGATGATTGTAAAAAGCATAGATTGCCAAACTTATATAACTTGGCACTGGGTTTATAGCTTCTCATATTCAGCCCTCAGGGTGACTACAGGGCATGTCTACGTTATTTTTTTTCTTGGCAACAACATCCGCTTGACTTGCCATGACTTTCTTCTGTGTTGTTCCTCCAGCTTCCCAGACTCGGGTTTTGAGACTGCCTGGTTAGACCTGGCTTAGCTTTTTTAGTTAAGAAAACTAAGGTCATGGTTCCCGGCCCTCTCAATTCCTGGTAAATAGATGGGGAAGAAATGGAGGTAGTGACAGATTTTATTTTCCTGGGCTCCAAGATCACTGCAGATGGGGACTACAGCCAAGAAATTAAAAGACGCTCCTGGGGAGGAAAGCTATGGCAAAGTTAGACAGCGTACTAAAAAGCAGAGACATCACCCTGCCAACAAAAGTGCATACAGTCAAAGCTATGGTTTTCCCAGTTGCAATGTATGGTTGTGAAAGTTGTACCATAAGGAGCATCCTTATGAGGTTCTGAGCATAAAGAATTGAGGCCCTTTGAACAAGGGACTCGCTGGAGAAGACTCCTGCGAGTCCCTTGGACTGCAAGGTGCTCAAACTGGTCAGTCCTAGAGGAGATCAACCCTGACTGCTCTTCAGAAGGCCAGATCCTGAAGATGAAACTCAAATACTTTGGCCACCTAATGAGAAGGAAGAGCCTAATGCTGGGAATGATTGAGGATAAAAGAAGAGAAGAGAATGAGGTCACTGAAGCAGTCGGTGTGAGCTTAAATGGATTCCAGAGGATAGTAGAGGACAGGAAAGCCTGGAGAAAAGTTGTCCGTGGGGTCGCGATGGGTCAGACACAACTTCGCAACTAACAACAACAACAACAAGCTTTTTTAGAATCTGCCAAACTGATTAGGTTTGATCATCTTCTCTGGTACAAGTCCAACATCAAGCTGGGTTGCAGAGGCTAGTTTTCCAAGTGTGAAACAAGACCTAATTGCAAAGAGATGCTCTATTCAGATGCCGATGTGCTCTAAGATAAGTCAGCCTAGGCTGAAAGAGGAAGACAAATTCTTTGGCAGTAGAAATGGATGGAGGAAAAGGTAAATTGCATTTTGCTTTCCTTGGTTTCCGGAATTAACCTTCAAACTACGTAATAATTAACCTGAGTTATGGCCAACAAGAGAAAACTTTCCTGCTAGGGGAATACAAAAGAAGAGAGAATTCAGTACAAGCGAAATAATTTTTTCCACATGAGATCCCAACATCTGCTTGGAATTTCATGGGCCACTGAGAAAACACCGAGCCAATTTCAATCCTTACTCGGCACACCCTCCTAACTTCACCGTGATTTCTTATTATTTTTAAAATGCCTCTTGGTTCTGCTGAGAAAACAGAGTGAAAATTCAAAATCTGGGCATTTCACTCATCCAACACAGGAGGTAAAAGGGAGATGTA